GGAGGGGCGGGAGGAGCATGATGGGTTGGGGGAGGCATCACAGGAAGGCGGTGCGCCAGGGCTGACGTTCCCGACATGCAGCATGCGCGCTGCATCTCGTTTCAGCGCAACGAGACATGCAGAAAAGCAGTCACGCCCCCCCCCCCACCCCATTGAAACATTCTTTCGGGATGACTAACCTGGGCGAGGTCGATGATGGTGGTCTCGCCGCGGTTCACGACGTAGGCCTTGGCGGGGGCCACAAACTCGATGTTGGCGCCGGCGGTCTGGTCCTTGGACCAGTTGTGGATCTGAGATCGCGAGGCGAGGGGTAGGAACGAGGGTGGGGTGGGTGAGGGGGCAATGGCTTCGCAACAGAGCGCGAGCAAGCGCGCAGGTGCGCCGCATTGATGGAAATGCATATACAGCTGCAGTGCCTCGGGAGCGCCGGCGTCGGCAGCCAGTCCCCGCAGGCGCATAAATCGCCCCTAGGGTTTCGTGGAAGCTGCCGCGCACCTGCACGCCGGTGATGACGGCGTAGTCGGCCTTCTCGGGGTCCACGGCCTTGGAGATCAGGAACTCCAGGTCCTGTGAGGTTTAGTGATTGAGGGTCCGAGGTTGGGGTGAGTCCAAGGTTGAGGGTGGCGCAGGAGAGGACGAGGGCAAGTTGAGGCGGCCGCGAAGGGAAGGGACACCGTGTGCCGACACCCGCGTGTAAGCGGGGTGCGGACCAACCACCACAAACCAGGCGTGCGGCTGGGCGCGCATGCCGGAGGCAAGACCGGAGGCTGCGCGACGGGCTGCGTTTGATAGCCCTGTGCTCACGTCCGTGATCACGCGCTCGGCGGCGTGGGTGATGTCAGCCAGGTTCATGGTGGCGGGGTCCAGGCCCTCAGCCCTGGGGGCGCGGAGAGAGGGAGCAGGTTGGGCACAGGAAGCGTCAGCTCATTGCGGCAACATGAGCAGCCACGCACGGTGCGCCGCCACACGGTTGTTCGTCATGTGCGTTGACACCCCACGGGCCTCTCTTCCCTGGACACCCGGGCTCAAGCTCAAGGCCCCTGGGAAAACCTTCGGCGAACTTTTTTACCTGTGCGCTTGCACTTGGCCCCTCCTCAAACCCCCAGTTGCCCCAACCAGGCAGGCACACTCCACCACCCCCCCTATCAGGTCTTCCCCGTATCGCTCATACGACATTGACAGGCGAAGCAGCGCATACATGCGCGCGTGGGGGCTGCGGCACACTCACGCGATGCGGCGGGCGAGGCGCTGCTTCAGGATGGTGAGCTCGGGCTCCAGGGGGTCGTGCACCCCGGGCTCCTTGCAGTTGCAGTCGAGGCCCTCCTTCTGGAGGTCACCCAGGCACTGCGGTGACACAAGCGTACGAGGGGGCAGGACAGGATCAGCAGAGCCATGCAGGGGAGGGCATGCAGCGGTGGGATTTGGAGACAGTGGGCGGCATGCGACTCGAGTGCAGCTGTAGACAAGTGCTTGGCCGCTATGCCTGGGCTGCCAACAGGGCCATCAGGCGCGTCCATCTGCATTGAGGGCATCCCCCCTGCCAGTGAGGCCCACCTTGGCCATGGCGCCGCACGCGCAGCTCTTGCCGGGGCGGTTGGGGCGCGCGATGGCGCCCAGCTCGCCGCTCTCATCGATCGCGATGTGGGGGAACGCGAAGAACACGTAGCGCTCACGGCCCTCCTGCGGATGGTGACAAAGGAATGGTCGGGGTGGGGATCGAACTGGTGTTAGAGAATGACTCAGGTTTGGGGTTCTGGGGCTGGGTGGGTTGGCTCAGGTTTGTGGTCCGATGGGGGAGGGATTGGACGAAACACTTGTGGAGGGTTGCCTGGGGAGAACAGCGGGCTTCAGTGTTATGCGCGTGTGCATGTGTGTTGGGAGGGAGGGGCAATGCACGGGGGTGCAGGCTCCTGGCGTGGGAGGTTTGCAGGCGGGTTGGGGGTGGGCGTCCGAGGCGTGCAAGCTTGGGGACGAACAATGCAGACCGCTGCGCTGCGCCGCAGAGTGCGCACCGGGCAGATGGGGGAGTGGGACAGGCCGGCACCGATGCCGGTCACACCGCAGGTGAGCACGCCGCCCAGGCCGTTGGTGTTGAAGGAGGAGCCGAACACGGACTCGATGGCGGCCTTGAGCACGCCGGTGACCTCATCGCGGCACAGGTTGGTCATGGCTGGGGTGGAGAAT